AACAATATATTGGTCATCTACATTTGACCAGTGTTGTGCATTACCAAATGAAATGTTATCACTTGATTTCAAGCTCTAGTTTCATATCTAAACTTGCATTATAACGCCTATCACATACAAACAATTTTTGTAAAACTACTGCATTAGGTTTCAACAGGCATTGTTTAAATTCTGATAAAAAGATTAATTTATTAAAATAATATAGACTGCTCCTTCATATAGACCAGTAGCGGCCAATCAACTAGTATTAGCAATGTGAACAAAAAATGTGAACAGTTCTATGAGAAGCTTTTTTTCAAATGATAATTCATAGGTTGATACTTATCATTGTCATACTTGGTACACAGTAATTATTGATGGAGGACACATAATTGTTAAATATTGTCAAAAAGAGTATTTTTATAAAATCATTTATATCTATGAAACTATCAATGAAAATATTTTTATATAAAAAAAGTTACTTCAATAAATTTGTTCAATCCATGACTGCTGTTTTGTGTTCACTAGACTTTTATTATTAGTTTTTATTTCCTTAGCAGTATGATTCTAGGTTTTTTGCTGCATCATTAGGAAATAAATTTAAATGCAGATGTCATGTTCCATTCTTGGAGTAGCAATCCCTGATGAGGAATGGAAAGTTTGAAGCTTAGAAGTTGTAGTATAATTCAACAAAGAAGTGTAGATAATTAATATGAAGGACTACTTTAGACATCTGTTCATCTTTGGTAGTGTTTTACATACATATATACAATATTCCTTTGCATGTTTTGTTCCGAGTTCATTTAAACTCACAAGGTCAAGACATATTCCTGTGCCACATCAAAAGAGAGCTTTCCTTCAACTCGGAAGAAGACAGATATTTGAGTATAGTGTGTGCAGGGCTCAACAGTTATAGTAGTCTACTAACCAGATGGTTCAGGGTTTACTGTTCGACTAGTGCATTTCATAATATCAGTACTGGGTAGTAAAATATTTGCACTTCTCATTCATCCTCACATTGTTGTAAATTTATTTTGACACATGCTAAATGTATTATTTCTGAATATCATCCAGATGTGTATTGCAATGCTACCAAAGGATTACCTCTTAGCAGAATAAAAAGCCCACAGCCAGTTATAAACTTTATAGTATATTGCCACCTGGAGAAAAGCATACTCTTTGATAACTTTACGACGCTTATATTATTTGGAATTATTGTGGTTTTTCTTCTTGTATGTCTATAGTAGAAACTTGGATATATAACAATGGAGAAATGCCTAAAATTCTTTACACTAGGTCAATGACATTATCAGGTAGCCAATGAATGGAGGACATAACATACCCATGACAATCCTAATGTAATTCATTTGAGTTGCAACACAGCTTGTTTCATTTAGTGTTCTTGTTGATAGGATTTTGGCACATTTTAGCTGTACACATGGTAAAAGTAATTACTATATACACAGTTGCTGTGTATTTTACCTTATTCTATACACACAACCATTATGCATATATTTTACCATATTTTATAACACATCCACTGTATATGTACTTTACCATATTTTATGTGCATGTGTGGTACATGCTTTACTGTATTTTATATACACAGCTGCCTTGTATATATTATTTATTTTGTTGTGCTGAATGTATAAGGACAAATAATTTTGCCTCCGATGTATAAATATTTCCATTTCATCCAAATAATAAACTATTACAATTTTAGTTTTATAAATGTTTAATTGATTCAATAATTATTCTGTCTAAATAGTGGCATTATTTTTACATAACCTGCTACTTGATACATTTCCTTTACTACCTTCTCCATAACTTTATGATAATTGTCATTACTGGTCATGGACAGAAGTGCTGATGGGATGGTCTAATTTCCAATGTTTGTCTCTAATCCGATATCCAGCCTTCTGAACTACTTGCCATGAAACTTTACACACACATTCATCCCATGGTCTAGTTGGAACTAAATGAAAATACTGCTGCTCAAACATTCATTATGACCATTACAGTTGCCATCTTGAATGTCTTGTTATGCTGGAAGTAATATTGCATATGGTCTACATGTATTATTATTAAATGACCTTTTTATTTACAATTTTGGAATGAAAATTTTAATACCTATTTCAACAGAGCTTCTGGGTCACTGTTGAAAATTTGTCAAAACTGGATGAAAATATGTATAAATTATTATGAAGTTGAATCTGTACATGATATGTAGGCAGAAAAGTCTAGGATTTTAGAGCTCATTGAGGACTGACAAACAGGTAATGATGATGTTATTGCATAAAAGGAGTGAGTTACATGTAACTCGCTGTCTAATTGACCAATGGTCAACTGGGATCAATGGCAATAATAGTTGTTGATTAGATCTTTAATGCAGTATGTATCACATGTGACTATTCTTTCAGAACAAAGTCTGGATGTCAGAAATACAGAGACTTAATATGGACAGTGGAGGTATTTGCCAAAGACTTAGCAAAACTTTGCCAAACACTTAGCAAAACTAATTTTCCAGTTATTTAATGGATTGTAATAAAGCTAAAGTATAATTCTTTGGTCATTTTTTGAAAGATGTGTGGAAATTTTTCTCCATTTTTTAAAAATCTTTATTCATTATTGACCTTCACTATTCCAATCTTTTGCCATCTGGTGCTGTAACAAATGACTTCTATGTCACTGATGAAGTCTGTTGGTGAGTTTAATGAAATACTTCACAAAAAAACTCGTACTGTTGGTGAGTTTAATGAAATCACAAAAAAACTTGTACTGAACCCATGTGACATTATTGGGCACTATACTTGTACTAAAGAACTTTCAAGACTGAGACAATCAAACATCTACTGAACATTTGCATGATAATTACATGGAACTTGTAATTCTGGCTGATATTCCACAAATTGTGTTTTAAGTTTTTTACTTTGGTTGAACTATAAGTTTTACTGACTTTAGAGGCAAATTTTGAGTTGTATTAATAATTATTTTCAATGTAATCTGCACCAGATCATATTTTACAATAATGTGCAATCACCTTCTTCATGTAATGCAATTTACAGAAATTGTATGTATGAATTATATGAAAGTATATATGATACTGGAATCTATCTGACCTATAAATAATTAAGCTGAAATTATATCAAAGTAGGACAAAAACATCATGAATCAGTTTTTTATTTTTTTATAACAAAATATAAAATTAATACAAAAATTATTTTTTAAATATCAAAATGTTTCCAAATATCAACTTGATTATGAAATTATTTAATTATTTAAATCTTAAATCATAAATACAGAATAATCTTAAAGTTGGTAATGTTAAAATACCATTTTTTTAAAAAGTTCTGAATATTTTGTTATGCCAGTCGATAAAATGATTTTCAATAAAATGATTTGCAGCTGCACATACAAACCCACCCACCACACACATGCAGATATATGCATGTGACATGACATAAAATGATTGACAAAATTATGTTGGAGAAGGCAATTAAATCTACTAATGCACACTATTAAACCCTGGCACTATTAGGGTACTCTTTAACTTATATAATTACTGATTTAGATACAGTTTACAGGCGTACTTCTGACATATCCTACAATTTTCAGGTGGATTCATCATTTTAAAGATTGTCACAAATCCATGGATGACCAGCGTTATGGAAGACCATTGTTTGCAAGTGATGAGTGGGACGTGGTGGTTGTGAATTTATAAGGATACTTAACACAGAGTGGAATATATTAATATTAACATGGACATCAATTCATCAGCTGTTTTAATATACTGAAGAATCACTGGAAGTTCAGAAAGGTTTGTACAAGACTGGTCCCACATTTTGATGCTGGCTAGCTACATGCCAATATATGAAAAGAGTACCCAGCCACATTAGAATGAGATGAAACATGTGGATACTCTTGTGAACCTGACTTGGATGATAATAATGAAGTTTGAATCTGAAAAAATAGGGACCTGCGCCAGATTCTGCTCATGTCTTTTGCAGGAAATGTCAGAGTATTTTAGATAAAAAGCAAAAAATCCTGCACAGTTATATATTTACAGCTGTATAGGATCTTTTGTTGCATTTTTTCTCAGATATTCTTATGTGTACTGGTAGCCAAGTTATCCATCTACTCCATGCCATAATGACAGACTTCTTGATGGAACATAACATCCAAGCTTTAACTCATTCTATAGAGCTCTGATTTTTATCCAGTTATCAAAGAATCACTAATGTGTATACAATTTGAATGTCACCATGAAGTTATCAAAGAATCACTAATGTGTATACAATTTGAATGTCACCATGAAGTTATCAAAGAATCACTAATGTGTATACAATTTGAATGCCACCATGAAGTTCAGAGTGTATTTTTTCAGTGTATGAACATGATACCAAAGTCAATACAAAATGGCGTTTAATAATTTTATAAAGTGTGTAGAAGTACATGGGGGGGGTACTTTAAAGGGATGTACTGATGATATATTCACTAATAAATAATTTTGTTGCACAATCACTACTTTTCAGGACATTAAATTAGTACATATTAACAGTTTGCCTGTTGGAGCTATCCTTATACATAAGAATTTGGTTTATTTCTTAGAATTATTAAACCAATTACTTTATTCGCAAATGTCCCAATTTGCTGATACAAACTAAGGCCATACAAATATTTGCACTAAGAAATATTGTTTTATTTTGTGTATAATTTATAGTTTGATTTATACCAATCAATATAATTAGTATTTGTACACAGTGCATCAAATGGTCAGTTACTTGATTAAATAGAGTTTTTAATGCAACTCTCTCTCTCTCTCTCTCTCTCTCTCTCTCTCTCTCAATACAAATATTATCAATTCATGGCTTGTGGGTAAATGTGATTTTAAGTTTAATCATCAGCATTCAGTTTGTTTGCATTAGTAATTATATTCATTTGAAACGTTGGTTTAATAGTTTAGTTTGATGTAATGGATTTCTTGTCATCATCATTTTAGGGACTCCAACACATTATTATTGGACCACTCCAGTTGCCTAGTGGTAGAGCATCCACTTCGGATGCGGGAGGTCATGGGTTTGAACCCCGACCGAGTCATGCCAAAGACTTTTTTTAAATGTTGCTAACAGCTGCCTTGCTTGGCACTCAGCATTAAAAGGTTAGTGTTAGAACTGGTCGGATTGGTGTCATGATCATGTGAGGGTGCAATAGCATGCTACCTGTGTAGCTTGATGCCCCAGTGCTAAACATTACTATAAACTGTCACATTGCAGATATCATAACGATATTACTGAAAAATTGTTAAAGCTACATTAAAACTCTAAATCATACATACATACACACACACACACATTATTATTTATTACTCTGCATGATCTGTGTCTTCTAAGAATTACAATATGCAAACATATATACTGTATGTGGATGGATGTGAACATAACAAATTTACATATAATTTGCAACATTCCTATTAAAAAGTTCTTCCTATTAAAAAGTTCAAAAACAGAAGTTATCAGCTGTTGTTATTTGAGATTCTATTTTGGCAAGCCTGTGTTTATTAGACACCAAGTCATATGTGTCATATGTGATCTTTTTCTGGCCGCAAATGGAAGACAACATACTATGACATTGTAGTCCCTTACAATCATATAACTGTTACACTGGTATTCAACAGAAAATTTGGTTTAATATTATAGTACTGTGACTGTTATTTGTACTCTCATATGCTAGGATTCCTGTTTGATTTGTGAAATCAGCAGTGACATCATATGACTGTAAGGTTTCACTGACACTGCCAAGGCATATTGCTATGGTTAATTAAGATTCCTGTCTCATCTGTATAAGCAAATGAAATTGTCATCTGCACTGTTCACAGGAAAGCCACAACATTTTCTTCACTTTCCAAATCCTCCCATCAAAGAATTTAGCAAATTTGACACATGTCTGTCCATTGATCTGGGAATTAGGGTAGATTTCTGATTCAAAAGTGTCATGGTGTTCAGGGAACGTCCATTGACCTCACTTCTCTGCAAATCCACAGTAGGCTTAAGACTTGGAGAAAGAGTGACATCTACATGGTCAGACATTTCTTCCTGGAAAAAGATTTTGTCAATGTCTTGACTCTATATAAATCTCTTGTAGTGCCAGAAAATCTTTCACATTCAAATTCTTTAATGAAAAATATGAGCATAATTATACATCAGTTACTTAAATACAATGTTGACTCAAACAAAATAAAATAAAACTCCACTGTACCAGTTAAAAATTCTTTCTTGTAGACTGAATGTTTTCATTAGCCATGAATAACTGTTTTGTAAACCTATCACCTCATCACCGGTAATACCAAGTAGGTTACTTCATCTATCTTACCTCACAGGACAGTTTGGAGTTTCTCAATTTGGATAATCAAGTCTGCATTAAAATATTCTAGAGACAAGTTCTTGATTCAAATGAATAAATAATGTATATATTAAATAAATTTAGATAATCCAGACTTTACAATATTACTTACATTATGTTAAATAGACTTTATACTGTAATTCCTTAGATAGTAAAATCACCAAGCATTCTTACACTTACTGTCCTGTTTTAAAAAAGATAAAGCTATGTTCATTTTTTTCTGATTGGCTTTTTATATGATTGTAAGTTTATTATATTAATTTTATTATATATATGCAACACAATGCCCATACTATATTAAATTAATTATACATGAAACACAATGCCCATACTATTTGATAGAAAAAGGTTAGATCATTTAGAGTAATGACGTTTCAGTTATGGCTCGGTCTATACTTTGATTTGGACATCACACACTTCATCTCTTTATTAATCATCGCTTTTATCAGTATTGTAATCAGCAACTGATTTATGTATGGATATTTTTACAAACCAGTTGTTTGATTCATGTGCAATGAAAATAGTATTTCTATTACACAGACTTGCTTTGGTTGATTTTTTGTAATTCTCTCAAATTTTAAATCTTTGTTACTACATGTATTTTGCATACCTGAAACAAAGGCTTAAATATGTTCTCTGTGATAGTTTCTCCAAGTTCAACAGTGTAAGAGGTGGCATAATTATATATCTTCCATCTGGTTGTGACTGGTAGACTATAATAATAATAATAATAATAATAATAATAATAATAATAATAATAATAATAATAATAATAATAATAATAATAAAAACAGCAATAATAATGTTGATTAGTACCAGTGGTAGTGGTATTAGTATTATTAATCATATAATAATATCCTATTATAACCATCATCATCATCAATAAGAAATGCAAGAAAAAGTTCAAAGCTCTATTCCACACTTCTCATGAAAATATGCTGTATTCATTCTTATTAATTAATATTTTAAAATCAAAATAAATTTTTAATTACTGCAACTTTCCAACTTTCTGTCTAGGTCTTCAATGTAACAAAATATATCAGTAATCAATAAGGGATAAAGCTCCCGAGGGGGGAGGGAATAACTACACACAAACACACACACACACACACACACACACACACACACACACACACACACACACACACACAGAGGTATGTCCTTTAACCACCGAACACCGCCAAACACTGTCAAATACTGTGTATAAATACTTTCGATGGTATTTTATAGTTTCGGTGGTGTTCGGCGGTAAAAAGACCTCCCTCCCACCTTGCAAATAAACTGACGCTAAACAACCTAATTATTTCCTAGAGTAAATTTTCTTTATAGTTGTATATATTAATCCAGCTTAATTCTGTGCGCGTGCGAAAAAGAGCATACCTGAATGTGTGTGACTTTATTTTATGACTTAACCTCACAAACACTTTATGGGGTGGGCGGATGGGCTAACGTGTACACTCACCAGTTAACAATTAGTAAGTGTACACATTATTCCCCCACACCCGACACCTCAATCAAGTGCCTGTGTATAACCTGTTAATATGTTGAGGATTACGTGTGCACGTCACAGATGGGTCTTTCATGAGAAAATGTGTTATCGTTACTTAAAGATGATGATGATGATGACGACGACGACGATGATTATTATTATTATTATTATTATTATTATTATTATTATTATTATTATTATTATTATTATTATTATTATTATTATTGAAATTATGTCCTAAAAACGCTTCAAATGCAGAGCTTCGGAGGCTTTGCCCCTTGGGCCTGCACTAGGGATTCCATCGAACAAACCCCATGCCTAATTATTTACGTTCCCACCACCCATGCCCACCTGAGCTCCTGGTATTTCATTGTGACTAATTCAACTGATTTTAATTGTCGCTAATTTAACTGATTTTAATTGTGGCTAATCTAATTATGTAGTGGATATTTTAAGTGGCCGGATGCCATAAACGTATGTACACTACATCAGCAAAATGCTTTCCCATTTTGTGGATTCTCCATTTTCGTGATTGTAAGTACACATTCTTGCACCTCTTTAGATCTTCAGTCTTTTACCATAGTAACAATATACACTAAGAAATATATTACATATCACAAATATAACATGTACGTTGTGCTATGATCTGTTTAAATAACTCTTTGAGTCATAACAATTGGAGAAAAATAACAAATTTGACAAAAATACCTATTACTAACGTCATCCCTCAATAGCATTTATTTTTATATCGTAAAATATCCAATGTCAACGTTATCCCACTTAAAAAAAATCGTGACCAGCTTCTTACCCTTCTCTTCGTTTTTGCAAGACATTTTGAATTTCGCTCTCGATAGACTTCTTTAGCTTTACTCGGAAAATATTGATTCCTGAAATAGATTAATGAACATGTGTACTTGTACCTTTATGTTATATAGATCCTATTTTTTCGGTATGAAATTTAATTTAATATTATATTTCCTAAAAGAAACGACCTCTTGAATTCTCAAGATTTCTTTAAACAAAAACTGTGCGTAACTTTGGTTTATTTAGCTTTTATCCGTTAGGTTTATAAATGTATTTCCTGTAGGAAGAATAACAAGTATTCCTGTGTTAAACGACCCACGGTATGATGCCTTTGATAGATCTATATTCCGCTGGTAGCATTTAAGTTTGTTAACTTACACCTAGTTTATTCCAACTGCAACAAGCACGGTTTCTTTTCTTTTGATGCCTTAAAATTATTCCTAACTCAATCACTAAATAGCTCACATGAAAGAATGCTTTCTTTCTCTTGCCAAATTGCAGCCTTAATTATTGTTAACAACCAGCACGTCACGTCACTTCGCTTGTGCAAAAATAAAGTATGCATGACAAAATTTATTTATTTATTTATTTATTTATTACAATTTGTTGCGAAAAATTCAGAGAAATTCGTTCGTTGAATATTGTCTGCTAACTTTTATTTGCTATTTGAGATTCAAGTGATACAATGATTCCGAACTACAGCACGAGACTGAGAAAGACCTTAAAGTACGAGCGTAGCTTAATCTCATCTCTTTTACATAATGAACTGTATCAATATGAGTATGCTATTTAATTTAATATAAATATATTTTTTATTGCAGATCCAAGCAATCACCAATACATCACTATCATGAAAAGAAACATCGATTACCTGTCACTGGGATTTGCAGAACGGCAGCGTACGTATTGCCTAAAAGCATCCCCAAAATGAAAGCAATATTCAATTCTTGCATCTTAATCTGGAAAATAGTTGATATTATACACAAATTGACATAATAGATATAAAGATTAAATTGTCTAAGTAATATACAACTCTTTCAGTTATTTTTCGAACTACGAATAAACCATGCTTTGCAGTTTAAATATTTATAGCCGATTTCGATCCATAGCAAAATAGTAAGTAGTACTAGTGATTTTTAATTATATTTTTAAGTATCTTTAATTATATTTTTTCGTATCATTAATTGTACCTATTTTCGTATCTTTTAACGCAATTCCTTTTTATCATTTTACTCTATGTCTTACCTGACGATATTATAAAGTTGTCAATTTTAACAGTTTGAAAAGTTAGAGAAATGACTATTACAGTACGTTTCAAGCATGTACTAAATAAATTTAAATTTCGAAACATGTAACTTTCCCCTTTTCATTTGGGACATTAAAAATAAACCATCAAAATGCTACG